TTCTGGGACCATCCCCTAAGCCTGCTTGGTCGGGTATTCTGTGTTGTTGCTGGCGGAGCTCTTTACTGCACTTCCACCTGATCCGCCATCTTGTTTGTTCTCAGAATCGTTGGCTTTTCTTGTCTCTGTTTGGACCTTACCCTGGAAGAGGGGTGGGATAATCCCTGATCTTGGAGAGGGAAGGCCCAAGGTCTTGTTGGCCTCCCCCGACACTAATAAGCCTTTACCTGCACCATGCCAGCATCTGATAAGCATGTCTAAGGCTCATAAATAACATTATCTGGTAAATGTAATTACTACCCCCATTTTATTGACGAGGAAATGGAGGCTCAGAGAGACTACATAGCTCGCCCAAGTTGACGAAGTGAGATTAGAACTGAGGTCTGTTTATCTCAAAGCCTGCATTCCTGAAACATTACTTGGCTGATTTAAAGTTACCTTAAAGGGCTCTCTTTGCCCAGGCCCTTCTGGCAGGGAGAGGGCTGCCTGCTTTATGGACAGGTACATGTGAGTAACAAGAGCATAGCCTGACAAGATCTGAGTTGTTGTGAATCAGAGGTGTTGGGAGTTATGTAGGCCTGAGCCCAAACCTAGTTGGGCAAGCAGGTTGGAGTAGGGGTGAGTGTTAAACCACTTGCCATCAAGTGAATGTCATCTCATGGTGACCCCATGTGTGTCAGAGTAGAACTGTGCTTCATCTTTCTGAAGTAGATTGCCACGCCTTTCTTTGGCAGTGCCTCTGGGCAGATTGGAGCTGCCAACTTTTATATTAGTAGCTGAGAACTTAACCATTTACACCTCCCAGGGACTCCTATGACCGCCTTAGCTCTCCCACAATCCTAAGTACTCACAAGCTGACTTCCAACTGCCTCTCTCTGCAGAACAAGCACTACAAGACAGTTTGCCTGGAATTGAAGGCAGAGCCGACCAAAGTAAGAAGTTTTCTTGAGGTCATGCAACCAGGCAGCTCTGTCTGAGAGCCATGGGGGTGGTGTGGGATTGGGGGTCATTCATTGTGGGATATGAGAGAGAAAAGTTTCTGTTCATCAAACTGCATGCTAGCGATGAGAAGGAAATTCAGTAATGTTACATGCTATATAAGGACTTCTGCTATGGCACTGTAGTATAAGCACAAGACTGCAAGGTAGGGTTGAACCACAAGGTCGGTGGTTCAAACCCACCAGCCACTCCTCGGAAGCCCTAAATTGGGTGTCTATGAGCTGGAACTGACTCGACAACACTTAAGGACAGCAACATGCTATATACAGAATGAAACTAGGGAGACATCGTTGGGTGGCTTCTTTAGATCGGCAAGTCAGGGCAGACCTTCACTGGAGCTGAAGACCACGCAAAGAGAAGAGAAACAGCATTCTGGGCAGAGAAAGCAATATGCCCTGAAGTGGCACAGAAAGAGCTCCCAGAGGGCCCGGAAGACAAGAGCTCAGAGAAGGAGGAAAAGGATTGAGGAGATCTGTGACAGGTGTGGCCCAGGGTGTATCTCCTACCTCATCCACCACACCTGCAAGTTGTAAGATTCTGTGTTTCTAATTTCAATCAACAGACACATGACTACAAAGGAGGTAAACAAGAAGGGCCGTCCACCAGGACAGGAGGGACACACGAGTTGAAGGTGAGACTGTGGACCCAGATGGTGGGGGTGGGGGTGGGGTTAGCACATGGCGGGGAGTTGGTGGCTAATCATGTCACTGAACTCAGATGATGGACGGGTAAAAACGGCCCTGCTGGCACCTATGGTGGCTGCTCTGTGCCTTAACATCTCATTCCCTCAGACTCTTTCTTGCTTTTTGAACTTTTTATTTTGACAGAATTTGAAACTTTCAGAAAAGTTGCAAAAATAGTTCAATGAATTCTAGAATACCCTTCACCCAGATTTCGTAGATGTGAGCACTTCATTATGGTTGCTTTATTCTCTCTCTCTCCATTTAGCTTCCAGGGCTAAATCTTTACAAGAGCAGAAAGCCTCATCTTTCTTCCACAGAACCACTGGTAGCTTCACTGCTGACCTTGAGGTTAGCAGCTTGACTCATAACCACTACACTACCAGATATCCTTATGATATGTATATAATATAGTTCTTATATATATGTATCTATAGATATGTTCACATATATGTATGGTGGTGATGGTAAGTACCATCGAGTTGATTCTGACTCATAGGGACCCCTGTATAGAGCTTCCAAGGAGCAGCTGGTGAGTTTGAACTGTCGTCCTTGTGGTTCGCAGCCCAGTGCTGAACCTACATACATATGTATGTATGTATGAATGTTATATATATTATATATATATATATATATGTACATACGAGGGGACTTCAAAAAGTTCATGGAACTGAAAAGGAGTTTTTCAATTCCATTTTCCCATGAACTTTTTAAAGCCCCCTGGTATGTGTGTATGTATGTGTTATATCCTGAATCATTTAAGAGTAAGTTGTTCCGTTACCCCTAAATCTTCAGTGTATATGTCCTAAAGCAATATCCAGAGTAAAATTGATATCAGGAAATTAACACAGATATAGTATTTGGAGGCCTGGTGTGGCACTGTAGGATAAACTCTGGACTGCTAACTGCAAGATTGGTGGTCCAAATCCCCCTACTCCTCATACACCCTATAGAGGGTCACTAGGAGTCGGAAGTGACTCTTTGGCACTTAATAGCAACAGTACTGCTACCTTTATTCTAATTTTACCAATTATCCCACAAATATCCTTTATAACTGAAGAAGAAAATAACATTTTCTGGTTCAGGATCCAATGTTACATCTAATTCTCTTCAGTCTCCTTGAACTTGGACAGTTCTTTAACCTTTAGCTTCCCGGATACTAACATTCTTTCGGGTCACAAGTCATTTATTTTGTAGAATGACACTCAGGATTGTCTGAAGTTTCCTTGGGACTGGATGCAGGTTTGGACCTTTGGAGGCATGTCAGATGCTGAGTCCTCAGGACATCGTATGGAGCCATGCTATGTCCACAGGCCCCATTAGCCTACTTTCTTTCCTCCCTGATGGGCAATCACTCTCGGCCTGTCTTTTGGCAATGCCCCAGAATCATCCCTTCTCTCCTTTTGTCAGTTTCTTTCTATCCAAGACATTTCTTAACTCAATCTCATCTCCATTTTACTTCCTTAGAATGAACTCAGGGAGGTGAGGGAAGAGCTCAAGGAAAAAATGGAGGAGATAAAACAGGTAAAAGGATGATCCTTTATACAACATGAAGGAAACAGGTAGCTTGAAGGGAAATGCCATTCCTAACTTTGAATAATCAAGGAAGTGAAGGATTGCATGGAGAAAAGCAATCAAACAAACTCAGCTCCAATCTCCAAGGGTGCTTTATTGTATGGCTTAAGCTATCTATTTCTTGTTTGATGTTTAAACCCAATGTTTTTGGAGACTCTTTCCAAGTATTGAGTGACTAAGGACTCTCTAGGGAGTCCTGGTGTGACATTGTGGGTTAATGCACTGGACTGCAGTTAGTTTGAACTGCAAGGTCGGTGGTTCAAGTTCACCAGCTGCTCCTCGGAAACCCTATACAGAGTCGTTTTGGGTCAGAACCGACTTGATGGCACTTAGCAATAAGGACTCTCTAAGGCATCTCACTGATCTGTTTGGGCTAATGTAACCTTAGACCAAGCAGAGTGAGAGGGGCTGATTTGATTTGGGGGAGGGGCAGTCAGGGGCCAAGTCCTTTCTCTTTACTCATCCATCCTGGGACAGCTGTAGAACTAGAGGCTCTTCTTGTTTCTGTGATGGAACCACTCACACCAGCTGTCACGGAGTCAACTTCAACTCATGACATCTTCATGTGAGCAAGAGTAGAATAGACTTGTGCCCTATAGGGATTTCAATAGCAGTGTTTTTGGTTTTTATTTTTCTGGAAATAGATTGCTAGACCTTTCTTCCTAGGCACCTGGGTGGACTCAAACCCCTAACCTTTCTGTTAGCAGCCAAGCTTGTTAACTGTTTGTATTCCTAAGAACTACTATTGCATACTCTACAAGAGAAAATTATCAAGAAAGCAGGTATAATTGAAACGAAGGTTTGAACTCCACATGTAAACCTTTAGATGAGCCAGAGTGAAGCTTCACCAAGGCTGGAGGTGGTGATAAATGATGTGGTATAGGCAGTCTAGTCCCTTCATAGGCTACTTGAGAAGAGAATGGCTTTAACAGGCTGTTATTAGTCCACTCCTCGAGCTTTCTCCAGCTCATTCTATAGAAGCAGATACTGCTTCTTGCTTAAAAAGCTCCAACAATAATATGTTCTGTATCTCGTAAAACTATGCCTTCCTTTCTTCTTAGATAAAAGATATAATGGACAAGGATTTTGATAAACTCAAGGAATTCGTGGAAATTATGAAGGTAAGCAATTACGGAGTGCCTTCCATATGGTAGTACCATGCTAGGAACTATGGGAAAGGTACCAGACCCTGCCCTCCAGGTGATTACAATCTAGTGCCATACTAGGACAGGAGCTCTGGTAGCATAGTGGTTATGAGTCAGGCTCTTAAGCTCAAGGTCAGCACCTGGAAACTTCTAGCTGTTCCGTGGGAGAACGATGAAGCTTTCTGCTCTTGTAAAGATTTACAGCCTAGGAAACCTTATACAGGTTCGGTATGAGTTGGAACCGACTCCACGGCATACCACCACCGCCACCATACTAGGAACTATGAAAAAGGTACAAGATCCTGCCTTCCAGGTGATTACAATCTAGTAGGCGATCCAAACTCTATTATGTAAAATGAATACTAAGTAGTAAGTGAAATGATAAATGGCTGCCAGCTGATTAGAGGTTTAGAGAAGAGAGAAATTAACGTGGGCTTGAAAAAGGTCTTTATAAAGAAAGCGAGTCTAAGTTGAATCTTGTAGACTATATTGGAGATTTAATGCCAATCTAACAATACTTTCAAAAAACCTGTAAGATTATTTTTCAACTCAAGATATAATGAGGAGGATCATCTAGATTCTAAATCAGTGGTTCTGAAACATTGCTGTGTTCCAGAAAAACAATGCAATTCTCCAGGGTTGGGCACAGTTACTTAAGACTCCATAAGTGATTCTGATGCCTGCCCCTGGATGAGACCCAAGTCCTATACACTTTAACAGTAGATGTTAACCTTGACTGCACATTCAAACCACCTGGGGTGCTTTCAAAACCTCCAAACTCAGGCTGCTCCCAAACAATTGAATCAGAACCTCTTGGGATAAGGTCTAGGCACCATTAGATCACTCTCCAGGTGATCTCAACGTACATTCAAAATTGAGACTCACAAGTCTATAACATTTAAAATATTGTTGTTGTTAAGTGTCGTTGAGTAGGTTCCAACCCAGAGTGCCCCTGTATATGGTTTCCAAGGAACAACTGGTGGGCTTGAATCACCGACCTTGCAGCTAACAGTTTGGTGCTTATCCTACAGTGCCACACCAGGACTAAATATGATAAAGATTTTTTGTATGCCGGTGAGAAGGAAGAACATGTTTGACTATATGAGGAAAACGCTTAACTCAATCATTTAACCCTATTAACAGAAAGAATGTCTACAGACTAAATTTAATACAAGCCAATATGAAATTGTAAATAAATATTGTAAATAAATATAAAAAGAATGAAAGAAATTACAAAAGAAATGTTGATCCTTTTAGCTGTATAAAATTTTAAATTATGACAGGAAAACACCATTTGTAGAATTAGAAATCAAACAACAGGTTGGGGAAATAATTTTTCACAAATATGATAGACAAGACATAAACAAAAGGTTTTTATCCTTTATATGTCAAACTCATATAAATCAGTAAGAACCAAATGGGAAAATGGGCAAAAGGCATGAGCAGACAATCCACAGAAGACAATATAACAAAATAGCAATAAACATGAAAACAAGTTTTAACTTGAGTAATAAATGCAGAACAATTATAAGTGGAGTTTTAAATTATGACAGAGTAGGCAAGGTGATGGTGGTGGTGGCGTACCGTGGAGTCAGTACCAACTCATAGCAACCCTACATGGGGTTTCTGAGCCTGTAAATCTTTATGAGAGCAGAAAGTCTCATCTTTCTCCTGCGGAACCAGTGGTAGTTTTGAACTGCCGACTTTGAAGTTAGCAGCCTGACTTGTAACCATTACGCTACCAGAGCTACTTGGGCAGGCAAAAGAGGAATGCTTTTATTTTTCTGGTGGGAATACAGATTTGTACAAAACTGGAAAGTAATTAGACAATACTCATTGCTATCAAACAAAAAACACAACCAGAAACACAAAGTTAAGAATGAACCACAGGACCTCTCCAAAGAAGATAAACAAGCAACTATTTAGTACATAAAGATGCTCAACATCATTAGTCATTAAAAAAACAAAACCCACTGCTGTCAAGTTAATTCTACTACTTTTAGTGACCCTATCGGACAGACTGTTACTGCCCCATAGGGTTTCCAAGGCCACAAAACGCTCCTCAGAAGATGGATGAGACTTTCTGCTCACGAAGTGATTTACAACCTCAGAAAACCCATACAGGGTTGCTAAGGATTGGAACCACCATTCCTCTTCTAAGAAGCATTTTGGCTGTACTTCTACCAAGATACATTTGTTTTCTCTTCTGTCAGTCCACAGTATAGTAAATATTTTTCTCCAACACCATAATTCAAGTGCCTCTGTTCTTTGGTCTTCCGTATTCGTTGTTCAACTTTCGAATGTATATGAGGCAATTGAAAAAAAAAAAAAACATGACTTGGATCAGGCACACATTAGTCCTCAAGGTGATATATTTGTTTTTTAAAACTTTAAAGAGGTCTTTTGCAGTAAATTTGCCCAAAGTATTATGTTGTTTGTCTTGACTGCTGCTTCCATGAGCATTGATTGTGGAACCAAATAAAATGAAATGCTTGACAGCTTCAATCTTTTCTGTTTTTTCGTAATGTTGTTTATTGGTCCAGTTGTAAGGATTTTTTTTTAACATAGTGTTGTAATCCTTACTGAAAGCTGTTTGTATTCTTTGATCTTCATCAGTAAGTGCTTCAAGTCTTCTTCACTTCCAGCAAGTAAGGTTGTGTCATCTGCATATCACAGGTGGTTAATGGGTCTCTCTCTAATCCTGATGCCACTTGCTTCTTCACATAGTTCAGTCCCTCAGATTATTTGCTCAATATTCAGACTGAATAAATTTGGGGAAAGGATACACACCCGATGAACACCTGTCATGATCTTAAACCATTCAATATCCCCTTATTCTATTTGGACAACTGTCTCTTGATATGTACAAGTTCTGCTTGAGCACAATTTAGTGTTCTGGAATTACCATTATTCACAGTTACCCATAATTGTTTTATTATCCACACAGTCTAATGCTTTTTCAGAGTCAAAAAAAAAAAACATAGATAAACGTCTTTCTGGTATGCTCTGTTTTCAGCCAAAATGGCATCTCTCAATCCACATCCTCTTTTGAATCCTGCTTGAATTTCTAGCAGTTCCCTGTAATGTACTGCTGCAATCGTTTTTGAATTATCTTCAGAAAAATTTTACTGGCATGTGATACTAATGGCATTATTGGATAATTTCTGCAAATGGACACAAATATGGATCTCTTCTAGTTTGTTGTTCATGTATCTGTCTTTCAAATTTCTTGTCATAGATGAATGAGGACTTCCAAAGCTGCATACATTTGTTGAAGCATCTCAGTTGGTATCCCAACATTTCCACGAGCCTTTTTTTCCATCCAGTACTTTCAATGCAGTAGACAGTTGTTGTTAGGTGCCATCGA